TTGGTGGAGTAAGAATAACAGAACATCGCTGGATTTCCGGCTGAAGGCTGCCGCCCAGTGGACAACAGAGGAATGTCACGTTTTAATCTTAAAAACTTCACATTCCTGTTAAACTGCAGCGCATGCTTGTGTGCTAAAAAATTCTATCCACATAAATATTTTTTACATACAATATTTTTACATAAAAGTGAAACTAGGATAAAAGGAAAGTTTTCTGGATATGATACAAGTGTAATTCACAAACATCACAACGATATTATTCTCCAAATGAAAGTGTGGGGAGCTTGTAAGTAACATCTTTTATTCAGTGCATCGATAATGTCAGTGCAAACTCAGACTGAAGGAATGTAAGTTTACTTTAAAGCTGCTTCTCTTTCTCACAGAGAAAAGGTCCTAATTATCACATGATGACCAGCAGTCGGGTTACAGGGAACTGGCTGCAGATGAAAGTAAAAAGCGTGGATGAGGCTTGTCAGGCAGCTGTAGGACACGTCCTCCTGTTTGTTGCACATTGGCCATGAGAGGTCGAGGTGTCAGCCTCCTTCAGACAGAGACAAATGTCGCCCCGCCTGGTTTTCTATTCAGCTGCATGTGTTGTCGGTCCATCAGAGGCTAATTAACATAGCAGGATCCCCAGTGATCCCACGCTGCTCGTTCTGTCTATACACAGCTCCTGTTACACTTTACGGCATGCACAGCAGGACGCTTCCAACGAGATGCTGCTGTTTCAATCAGGCCCAAAGTAAACTGGACAGCATGTGAGGACTGTGTGTCTGCATCCACGCAAAGGTCATATCAGCCAAAATCGCTGCTTCCTGCATGTTTCCACAAAAAGCCCAAATGCAGTTAACACATGATTTTTATAAACACACACTGTCACATATCTGTGCACGCTGTGGGAATGAAAGAAGCCTTTAATGTTCTGAAAACTGTTTCCTGTGCTGTTTAAAATTATTTTCATGATGTCATGTTGGACCTGAACTCTGTCTTCTTATGTTTGCTTTTGGGGAAATACCTGGTGCAGGAAAATCAAAGGCAGGGAGCCACTCCCACAAAACAACAACGAAATGTGGAAAACTATTCCTAAAATGTTTATGGAATCATACTAAAGAGACACCATTCGAAGGTTCAGATGAATAAAAGTCATGAGATGACTAATGACTCTCGGTTATCACAGACTGGTTTCTTTACAGGAACATCAGGAACATCCAAACTGAGGCAGTACTGTCTGAGGAGATGTATTGTTGCATTTGTGACATTGGACAGGGAACCCCGCTGAACCTCCTCACAGAAAATCTTCGGGGAACAAAAACTAAGATTTCCTGGTTTCAGGAAATACTCTAAAACAGTCACAGGCCGGAAACACCTGTAATGTTTCAAAACCACTCCAGGATCCAGGAAAACTGATCGAAGATCTCAGGATTCCTGAGGTGATCATGGAATTTGTTCAAGCATCTCTGGGTTTCCTCGTAATAACCTCTGAAATTGCTAAGTGGAGCAAATCTCTCTTACAACATCCCAAAAAGGTTGAGGGGGGTTTGCAAAGCACCTAAAATTAATTTTAACTTACATTTTCTTCTCAAAGCTTCTTTTAAAGCAATCAAGACTTAACAGACCCGTGAATGTTTATGAAATTCCATCAGTGCCTAAAACCCAATCAGTGATTCCCAGAGTCCTCACCTAATGGTCTGATACACCCCAACCTCTGAGCAGATAAGCGACCACCCGTGAAATGATCAAATTCCACGAAGGAAAAATATCAGAATTAATAAACAATCAATACAAAATCAGGACTCCCTGCAAAGACCCTTTAACAAGCTACATTTCTAAAATCAAATTAAAGGTCCCTGGAAAATCCTTATGCGGAGTTCAGCTAAAACCTGGAAATTCCTTGGCCTTGGGAATTCACCAAACATCCCTTAGATTAACTCCTTAAAGCCAACAACTATTTCACGGATCCATATAATTCCTTCAAGGAACTCCGAAGAGTTCAAAAATAACCCCTCTCTGAAAAGTCATTGAAAGACCTCCAGGCCGTGACGTCCACATTTCTCCTGGAGGGTCCGGCTCTGCGCGACCCGCCTGTCCGGCCCTCCGGCCCGCTCTCAGTATCAAAGCATTCCCGGCGTGGAAGCAGCAGCCGCGGGTGGGCTGCTCGTAACCTCCGCAGTAAATTAAGACGAAGAAGCAAATAAAGCTGCACCTGCGGACACTTTTTGGCATTTTTAATATTTGCCAAAAACTGATTGCTCGTATTTAAACTGCAATAAGTAACTTGTTGGGCTATAATATGTGAAACATGTCAAATGCATCTCTCATGGATGACACAAAGTCATATTGAGCCACAAACAACATTCGTGTAACAAGAAGCTGCATTTGGCAGCGACTTTTATATAACCTTTATTTATGCAGTTAAAAAAAATCTCATTAACATTAAAAATGTGTTTTTAAGAGTAAGTTGGCCAAGAGCACAGCAGCAAATATTACGATATTCAGTAAAAATATTTCAGGTGGGGATAAAGGAGCGGGTTGGTTATAATGTACAATAACACAGAGTTGTAAAGATACTTGAAAAACTGATATTACACATAAAAAATACACGGAAACATTGGACATCAGTTTTTGCCAGGCGATCACTTTTTGGCACAACACCGGCTCATCTTGAGTCCGCGTGCCAGAAAAGCACAAAGCGGGACCAGGTCCTCCGTGAAAATAAGAAATAAAGATCTGAACTCGTCACGGAAAACAAAGAGCTAATAAAAGTCTGTAACTATATTTAAATTTACTCCGGAGAAAAATCATATTTCTTGAATTATTATATTATCATAATGATAATGAGAATTATAAACAGATAAAAATGTCATTTAGGAAAATCTCTTTTTAATATTACGCATGCGCACAGTGACAGTAAATTAAAAATATGTGGACATTTTTAGTTTGAAAAAATCCCGCAGGACAGAGTCCCACGGCCTTCTTTCTCAATGCAGCACATGCGTGACATTAACTCGCAGCAGTCCGCGCTGCCGTCCACTGTGAAGGCCTGTGTGCGCGTGTGCTTTGTCCCGCAGTCAGTTCCCGTGAAAGTCGGTTGACAATGAATAAATGTCACGTGTCCGTGTTTTTGTCTTTGTGAGGCTGACTCTCAATCAGCAGCCCGCAAACAAAGATGCACGCGTGCAAGGCCCACGTTCAGTCATTAGTGTCACGGGTGAAAAAGACACTGAGGACCAGAGAGAGAGCACTCAGACAGGACTTCATCTCAGGCCGTTTATAGCATCAAAGGAGAATTATGAGGGTGGATTTCCAAAATAAAAGCAGCGAATAATAATAATCAGATGTATTAATATAATATTCAGATATTCTATACAACGCGTCTGCTGGTCTGAGGCACATTTGGGCCTCCGTATCCTCCAGCTGCTGTTTTGTGTGGGGCTCCTCTTCATGCTGACACGGTGGGTTTTTGTCTCAGGTGTGATTGTTGTGAAAACACGGTAATCTTCCCCGGTTATCTGTGCCAGCTGCACGGACTGTAACAACCTGCAGGACACCTGTATCGCCCCGCCCACCCCCGTCTGTGGGCAGAGGCCCAGCAGAATAATGACGTCAGGAAGTGAATCCACCAGGTTCAATCTTTTTTCAATCTTTATAATATCATCTTCTCTTTTTAAAGGCTTACTTATTAATAAATGACAGTTTTCCTCATTTGCTCACTGAAAGTTACAGTTTTGGAAAATTCTGTTTCATTTGTTCGTTTTTTCAGCTGAAAACTAAAAAGCTCGAGGAGGACAGTGAGCCAGGCCTGAAGCTCCGTTTCTGCTCACACGAACCTGAAATTAAACGCAGACATGCTGTTGCGCTGGTGTCCTGGACGACTTTCTTCCCCCTTTCGGCCTGTCTTTCCTGGAAAGTGCCCTCCTGAAGTAACCGCGGGGAGCGCGGTGCTTGTGGCCGACGCTCCGCCCGCCCCTGCATAACTGCTCCTGCTCCTATTGGCTCTTTGCGTGTTTGTAAATGAGCCAATCAGAGGGCAGCCTGCTTCGGTTCATAGCGGTGTGGCTCCTTGTGTCCGTGTCAGAGGAAAGTTGGACGCGTCCCCGGCGCGCTCTGCGTTTATCTGCTCAATTAACGGCTAATTACAAGCTTGAGTCTGGACCGTGTGTGTGAGTGTGTGAGGCGTTCATCACGGTGTTAACGACGTTGCCCCGCCCTGCTGGACTCCTGGAGGTAAAATTCATTCCGTTCTTTAAAAGTGTTTCTCGGCTCAGTCGCTCAGACGCAGATTAATTAAACCGGTTTAATTAAACTCTGTGAGCCAGTGTGACCCAAATATCCCGGGTTATGTGACAAACTCCTCTGAGATCCAGCAGACTGTTGGAGTTTTACTAGTTCTGGTTTTATTAAGGCCTCACTTTCTCTGATTACAAACTGTCGTGTTAAAATATTTCACAGCTGTAAATAAAAATAAATGTTCAACCTTCTGAAAAACTTCAAGCTGTTTTGAATAAAAAAAAAACGAACAACAGATTTATTATTATCTTTTTATTCTTGTAGATAATCTACTTACTAGACTAAAATATTTTTATTTAATTATTTTTTAAATAAGAAATGACAGTCCCGAGAGTTTGGGATAATTCATGAAACTGTCCAGATGAGGAAATGGGAATATTTGGTGTGTTAAGTCTGACAAACTGGTGATATTTACATATTTTAAGTGCCAGTTTTTCTCACCTGATCTAATCTAATAACTCGTATTCGTCTCCAGGTACAAACTGGCTTTAAATCCGGCAGACATGTCAGAGAACTCCGGGTGTGAGCTGGAGATCGACGTGGAGAGCCTGGAGACGGAGAGCGAAGAGCTGGCCGACTCCTCCGAGCGCCCCGGCTCTCCGCAGCTCGGCCACGCCGCCTCAGAGGACGACTGCCCCGGCACCAAGAGCCGCGACAGGGCGGGCCCCATGTGCGCGGGTGACCAGAGGAAACTGAGCCGCACGCCGAAGTGCGCCCGCTGCCGCAACCACGGCGTGGTGTCCTGCCTGAAGGGCCACAAGCGCTTCTGCCGCTGGAGGGACTGCCAGTGCGCCAACTGCCTGCTGGTGGTGGAGCGGCAGCGGGTGATGGCGGCGCAGGTGGCCCTGAGGAGGCAGCAGGCCACGGAGGTGAGACTGAGGGTGGTGTGTGGTGGAGGTGCTGTGCTGATGCGTTCAGGTGCTTCGCGCTAATAACACAGGAAGGACTCACGTGTGTGATGAAGCGTCTCCGGTTAATCAGCTGCTTGCTTGGAAGTCTGAGCCTGGATCACTGCTGCCCTGCAGCTCAGGGTTTTCAGCGGAAAGTTCAGATGATCAGGACTGTTTGAAATCAGGCAGCTCAACATATTTATCTCCTCACACAGCAAGCTGTGGCACTTGGAGCCGCTACAGTGACCTGTGGCCTTTGACCCCTCAGTGTTAGTGAATCAGGCCTTGCTTCTGTGATCGCAGCTTCTGTTGTGCTGAAGTCCTTCTTTTGTAAACGGGGCAGTTTCTGCTTTTGTCTGTGGGAAAGTCGAGCGCTTCTTCGTGTTGTTTTTGATAACTGCGGCACATTTGCACACTGACCTTTGTGCTACAGTGGAAGAAAAAGAAAATCGCTGCGCTGATTCTTCCAAAGTTTGTATAAGAACCCGAAGCCTTCAGAAGCGCAGTTATTTTAAAGGCTCTGTGTTCGGGCTTGCAGCCGATCAGAGTAAAGCCGAGGCTCAGTGTTCAGCGTGAATGCAGTCGCTCAGCGTGCACTTTATATCGCTTTGTTAGCTTCACTGAACAAACACGAATATAAAGGCACATCCGAGGAGCCGTTGGAGGTTTTCGAGGTTCATTCAGCAAATGAGGAATATTTTGTTTTTCCCCCAAATAAAGGCTTAGGAAGAGAATTTGAATAAAAACACAAAATCACAGCTGTTTCATGTGTGTGTGAAAAATCTGCGCATATTTCTGTAAAAGAGCAAAACTGTTACGGCGCCAGCATTTTAAAGATGAGACCAGATGAATGTTTCCCAGTTTGTGTCATCAGCTGAGCTCCTGTTAAATGTCCAAGTTTATATCTTTAACAAACACTTTCTCTCATTTCTATTACTGCAAAAAAATAAAAACTAAATGTGTTAAATGTTAGATTGACTTGTTAGGCCTGCGTCTCCGTCCTGTTTAGGGCTGTTTCGAGGCCTTTTCAAGGCTGTAATAACACGAGAAATGTGTGTCGCTGCCCATATTTTAACTGGATTATTATTAAGAGGCTGGTTTTTATTATCCAAACATACATGGGACTTGGACCTCAGCTGTTATTTTAACAAGGATTAAGGTGAACACTCTGTCAGCGTCTTTTAAATATTTTTCTTTTGTTTCTCTAATTTCTCAGGATAAGAAAGGCATATCCGGGAAACCAATTCCTGCAGAGAGGAGGACGATATATCAGCGACACATCCGACCGTCCACCATGCTCGCCAAAAGCATCCTCGAAGGTACGGCTCAGACAAAAAGAAAAGCTCCTCTTCTGCCTCTCCTTCGCTCGAAGCGGGGCTTACATTTCTTTTTCCTTTAACACCAACGGGGCGATAAGGACGTGCTAACATCTGTAAGCAGTAAAACTCTGGCACGTGATACGCTAACTCGTTTAGCAGCATTACAAAGTATAAATAGCTAATTAGATTATTATCTATGTTGGGTGTCGTAATATAATTCCAAACACACTCGATGTCATAAAAGTTGAAGTAAATGTTTGATTTTCGATGACAGGATATCGCCCGGTGCAGTCTGATCCGTTCCTGGCAGCCAACCCGTCTCTTCCCCCTCCGCTGAGCGACCGCATGAGGAAGAGAAGGGCTTTTGCAGACAAGGAGCTGGAAACCATCATGCTGGAGCGGGAGTACAAAGAACGAGAGCTGATGGAGAACAACCAGGGGGCTCCAGGCTCTCTCCTCTTCCCCAACGGCTTGGTCCACCACTCGTCTGAGTACAACTCCTACAAGACGGCCTACTCGCCGGCAGCTCCGGTCGAGCCGCAGCCCAAAGAGCTGTGCAGCTTCCTCTCCCCTAACTGCCTGGATCTGGGCATGCAGTACCCCTCGACCCCTGGGAACGTTGAGCTCATCTCCTCCAACGTCAGCGTGGCGACCACCTACCGCCATTACCCGCTGCAGCCGTCGCGAGGTGGCTTCGTGATGTGGCCCCGCGGCGCAGCCAACCTGGGAGACGCTCTTCTGTACCAGCAGTGCCTGTTTAACGCCACGGCGGTGCAGAACATGAAGCCCGGTGCTGTGTGGGAGCCCAAAGCGATGCCCGCTGAGAGTCAGCCGCCAGAGCAGGAGGCCGCGCTCGCTGCTAAATTGGAGGGATCCCGAGCCGCTGCTCTGCAGGACTTATCAGACCCTCAGAGGCCCGACCCCAAACCTCCTGCCGTCACCCAGGGGGAGCAGAGGGAGTGCTCGGCCTTCTCTCCTCCTAAGAGGAGCTTTGGACAATCTTTCCCCAACCACCCTCATTCCCAAAACTCCAGCAAGTTAAGCAAGGACAGTGCTAAGCCTTCCATGAAACTCAACTCCTTTCACTCCCTCATCCAGCACTCGCTGAGTGAAAAAGCCAGCGGGTCCGGGCCAGAGCTCAGAGCTCCGTACTGCAAGGAGCTGTTAGAGGAGGCGGCCCGCAAGTACAGGGAGAGCTCTGCCAAAGACTTTCAGGCGGTAAAACTCGCAGACAGGTACGCCAAAGACTTTCTGTCGAAGCCTGTAGGGACCAAGATGGCGCCCAGCGAGTCTCTGTCCTTCTCCGTGGAGGCCATCCTCAAACGGCCCACGCCCGCCATAAGTCGAGCATTCCATTAAAATCCACGAGGTGTCCTTTGTTGCACTATAAACACGAGGCTTGTCTCAGCCAGAGATCAGCTGCAGTTGTGGTTTTTGGGGTCAAATGTAAACGTGAGCACTGCATCGGAAAATAGACCAGTTTGAAATGATTGTTTTTCCAGTGTAATATTTATGTACAGTGTATAATATTTTACACGCGCATGTTTGAATAACTTTATTTGTGTCGAGTATTTAAACACGATGTCGATGTTTCCCTCACGTCAATAAACTTTATAAGACTGAACTTCCATAAAAAGTGTCCGATGTCATTTCATGCTCGAGTTGTGACGCCTGGAAGTGCGAGCGGGTTGTTGTTTAGGTCAGAAGTTAGTCTGCACCGAGCGATGTACGACTGCGGCCGGACGCAGAAACACGAGGAACTTCAGTCCTCTGACGGATTATAAACACACACAACCCTAATGTTTTTTTAATCATTTTTTTCATGTTGCACTATTAATAATTTAATATTTGGGCTTAGACTTAATACTTCATTTTGTAACACCTCGTTTGTTTCGTGCCCATTAAAAGCATAAATTCAGACGAGCTGTTCCTCGACTATAATCAGGGCTTCTTTAAGAAAAGGGAACTAGAGTTACAGACTCGTCCTGCAGACATTTTAACCTTTTCCATAACGTGGTTAAAAACCTGTTTCCTTGACCTTTGCACTTTAGTCGTTTGCAGGGTCATTAAGTTTTTACAGTAACTCTGCGACAACTAAAATATGTTTCAAATGAATGTAGCGGACAATATCCCATCACTCCTGCAGAGCCTCAGTGAAAAACTAAGAAAAAGAAAATCCCAGGAATGTTTTTATCACTAGAGTTTTGCACAAAGACAAATTTCACAAGTAAACCACATAAATGAGGTGTGGATGTGACAGAGTGCATGTAGACTAAATATGCTCTTCAGGGGCTGAAACACGATATCGGCTCATAAATCTGCGAGCAGCATCATCTCATCCGTTCATGATGCATTTCTCCACTCATTCCTTTCCACTTACAGCCTCTCAGCGTGTGTGTGTGAGTGTGTGTGTGAGTGTGTGTGTGTG